CTTCCACTTCAGAGCACCGTTTATAGCCTTTAAGATTAGTCTGTGTGTGTCTGTGTGTGTCTGTGTGTGTCTGTGTGTGTCTGTGTGTGTCCGTGTGCGTCTGTGTGCGTCTGTGTGCTGTCCTTCTACACAAACCTCACAGTGACAGCTCTGTGGGGATCACATAGAGAGAAAACACGGCCAAAAGGAGGCCGTATATTTCACTTTTTCTACACCTCGCAGCTCCCAGAAGTCCTGGGGTCAGTCCTATTTTTTGGGGGTGCTGTTAAAGGCATGCCACTTAAGTTTGGAGAGAAAAAAAATGACATGGCATGTTAGAATTTCGCTAAAAAAAACAACCGTTCTTCACTTTTATTACCAGTTTTTTTTTAACAATAATAAAACTGACAACGGGCCAAAAATGGTGGAAATGTTTCACTACGTCATATTAAATTGTTAAAATAGAAGAATTGGAAAATGAGTTCACTATCACTTGTTTTAATGAGTTCTGTTGGTTTTGCTAGTCAACTTTTTTTAAAAATTGACATGTGAATGTTAAGACAATGATGAATGATACTGAATTTGACCAATCCTAGCTCAATAGAACTGAACCCTCTGACCACACCAGAATTAGAGGCACAATTTAACTGAATGTTATTTATCACGACCAACTCACTTTTTTGTTCTTTCTCAGCTCTGAGTTATGAATTATTTGATAGAAATACCGTATATTCTTCATGTTTAGACACAGTTTTCCCATTCTAAGACGAATCATGAGATTCATGAAACTGAGTTTTAATGTAAGGTACTTTCTCTGTGTTCATGGCAACTTTACTGATGTGTTTGAATAGATTAGGTGTAAAGACCAAACCTCTTCAGGATGACTCATAACAAAAATAACTAGAAGCACTGGATTCTCCGAACTAAAGTCTAAAGTCCTGCTTCTGGAACAGGCCACATTTTCCAGAACAGAGGAAACGGTCATCATTTGGAGGAGACAGGGTGGTGGATTCTGGACAGTGTTGTGTGAACACACAACCTACAGCCTCCATTTCTCTCTTTCTCTCTCTCTCTTTCTCTCTCTCTCTCTCTCTCTCTCCTTCTCTCTTTCTCTCTTTGCACAAAAGCCCACATCTGCGCTCGCCGCCCATTAATAATTACTATTTATACTCCCAGAGCTAAACAGAGAGGGAGAACACATTGCCCCAAGCCCTTTTGAAGAGAGATCCTCTACACTGGGACACTCCGAGTGAACTTAATGACTGAAAATGTTTGTGTGAGCAAAAAACGCACATTTCCACGCAACAAATCTTCCCAAAGCGGATTCGGTTGAGTAGTTTTCCCGGTGAAAAATGGCCTCTAACGTCTGTCTAGAGTTGCTTACTGTGGGTTTTGCTGTGGTCAGCTGACTGAGAGCACCTCACACATTATCTCGTTAAAACAACAACAACAACAACAACAACAACAACAACAACAACAACAACAAAACGAGCGCATGATGATATGTGCGCCAAACGCGAACTGTGGGGAACCTGGTGTGAAAAATAGTCCGTGTTAGACTGGTTCTATGTTGTTGTCCGAGAAGAAAATCTGTGTTTGGATTTGAAAACTGGACAGAATCAATGGTGAGTTCAAAAGGGAGAAATAAAATAAGAAAAGAATGCTGCGTAAACGCTGCGTAAAATCCAAATTACGCAACTAAAACGCATATATACAGTGGGGGAAATTAGTATTTGACCCCTTGCTGATTTTGCAGGTTTGCCCACTTATAAAAGAATGCAACGATCTATAACTTTAATCATATGTACATTCTAACAGTGAAAGACAGAATCCCAAAGAAAATTCCAGAAAATCACATCATATGAATTTATAAAAATTGATAACCATCTGATGAGGAAAAATAAGCATTCTTTGTAAGTGGGCAAACCTGCAAAATCAGCAAGGGCTCAAATACTTATTTCCCCCACTGTGACAGAATAGCTATAATAATAATGACTCATACATTACTACTAGAAGCACTTAATGATGACTTGGAATAAAGTAAGTTTAAACCTTCATTTAGATTCATTTGAATTATCTGAGTTACAGTGGGGGAAATAAGTATTTGACCCCTTGTTGATTTTGCAGGTTTGCCCACTTACAAAGAACGCAACGATCTATAACTTTAATCATATGTACATTCTAACAGTGAAACTACTGACGACTTGGAATAAAGTAAGTTTAAACCTTCATTTGAATGATCGGAGTTATCTAAAATTGGGTTTCTTGGAGTCCTACCTCTTCCAGAATCGTGTCCAGTCTTGCCAGAATAAAGGGCTCCACCTGTGCCGCAGACATGCACGCGTCCTGCTGCTGCTCCAGAGAAACTATCCGGGACTTTAGCTCTGAGGAGCGCACCAGGACGAAAAGGCACGCGCCCAGGCACAGGGCGCACGCCGCCAAACAAGCCCCAAAGCCGGGCAGATCCCTCAGGATCCCCCGGTGGGGTTTCTCTGGATAATTCTGCTGATTCTGCTGGATCTCCAAAAGATTCCTCCTTCCCTCACCTGCTCCATTAAAAGAACTCTTCTTCTGCCCCCCCTCCATTCTAGATATGAACTTTGAGTTTTATCCACAGAGAGAAATCCCTTCACGCATCAGACGATTAGCGGTTGTTGTGTATTTGGAGGTGATCAACTTCTGCGTGCGTCCCTTTTTCTCTCTTTTCTGGGCAAACGCAAAGTGAGGGCTGGAGGCTTTCTGCAGCTTCATCCGTCAGTGATGTTCCTGAACTCCTCTGGATCCTCTGATTCGGCGTGTTTTTGCGCTTTTTCTGCGCTTTTGCGCTGTTCTCTGTGCGCTTTAAGGGTTTGCTGCGCGCTTTAAGGGTTTGGCGTCTGTCTGAAAGTGTCTGAAACCTCTGCTCTGCTCTTTCTGCTCACAGCCCTCACGCTCCTCCTCTCAGAAGGGCTTTAGGTTGAATGCCGGGGCTGGTTGTCGCTGCCCCCGCTTTGATCTGCGCACTTGGTGAGAGATATTTTTAGGGGTGTGCAAAGCCCCGGGACACACACACACACTGTCACGAAAGTGTGCGCAGCAAATCAGCTTCGGTCCAAAACAACACAGAAAGCTTGCTTTTTCTTCGCTTTCCTTGTTTTATTTCCTCATTTTGTACACGATGGAGTCTTTGCGCTAAATTTTGCGCCATGAAGGATCAAGCAAAAACAAAATGTTCTGTTGTGTTGTCCAGACTCAAACCCTTCACATGTGGTTGGATGGCATAAGGGAAATACGTTGCTTTCACAGACCATCTGCTATATTCAATGAACCTTTGAGCTACTTTGAATTCTTTAAATAATATTACTTTAGATCATTGTGAGTTTTTATTAATTTACTTAAATGTGATAGATCTATATGGTTAAAAATAACGTTTTCTTTGCATTACTTTGCTTAACTAAAGTTATACAGTGGGGGAAATAAGTATTTGAGCCCTTGCTGATGTTGCAGGTTTGCCCACTTACAAAGAATGCTTATTTTTCCTCATCAGA